TTATTAGTTAAGATAGTGGGTAAGAGAGTATTATGTACATTGAGGTTCTTCCCATTTTTAAAAAAGACTCTTCGTCAGGGACTTGAAGAGTGAACTGCTGTTATTGCCAAAACGCACTACATCTTCAATGATATATTGAAGTTTCTCTTGATTCAATATTGGGACTCTCAGATGGTGGCAACCTTGCAGCCAAATGCAAGATATTGCTCCCTTCATTATCTTGGTTCTGGACTAACAAATCTCTAAATGATCCGTTGAAGAGTAAAAAACAGCAGGTGTTCTGAAGAAAAAATCAGTCTTCGTGTTTATTACTTTTCAATTACTCATTTGTACAATGTTTTATACTTACACGATAACTCAACATAATTAACTATGGTTAACATATAACCAAGGTTTATCTCAATAGTAAACTGACTTCCAACTAATTCTAAACTACTGCAGAATTACACATAACAGAATTACTGCAGCAACTAATTCTAATAAATTTTAATGCCCAGAATTCACAATAATGAGAATTACTGCAGAAGTACACAATCACTGATCTTACAATGTGTGGATGAACATGATATATATATATATATATATATATATATATATAGATATATATATAATATATATATACTATATATATAGTATAAATGATTGATTGAGAAACATTTTGGGTATATTTTTTGTAAAATGAATATATCATTAGTAATAGTATATTATTTTAACTTATGATATTGTCTAACGAAATCGGTAATTACATTTTTCAATTGTAGGTTATGGCCTATGGTTAGACAGTTCTTCAAGCACAACATGGATGACGTCGTGACGATTTGTTTTTTTGTTTGTTTTACAGGTAGAGCAGTTGATCGGCCGTAAATTTAGGAAAGCACAGTGGTGCACCGAGAGCAAGTGGTGAGTGAGCCCCGAAAATGTTGAGAATGACAATCAAACTAGACGAGGCCGGCATCGCCCCAGACACTCGGAGAGCGGAAAACATCAGTTCGTGTAGGTCAGATTTACGGAGGTGGTTTCTGTGGATAGAAGGGGAGAGTGCAGTCATTGTAAAACACAAGTTGAACAATCACTGCCCAGTGGTCAAGAACCACAACCACACTCAACCACGACATTGAAAAGGGTGGCAAGAGAACAGAGAACAGTCACTTGAGGCAACAACAAATAAATTTCCCCACTTCTACTTCAAGGGTGGTCTAATGTACTGCTGCCTCTACGCGGGGCCAATCCGTATGTTGAAGATGAGGGAAGTATTGACATGGGTGCTGCTGCATGAGCATCCATTTTCTATTGTGGAGGAAAAGAGGGAGTTGAACAATATGGATGAAGTAAGGGTTCCGAAATGGACTACAATTATCCCGTAATGCTTGTAAGAAGATTGTATGTGAAAGTGTTTGAACGTGAGAGACAAAAGTTGATGAACTATGGAAGGGTGTTAGGTACGCTAAGCCTGACCCCAGATTATGGATCAGGCAACCAGAGGATGGAATACATGGTTTGGACTGGGCATGGGATTGATGATCTTGGAAGTTTAATAGACGGGATTGAACATTATTCATTCCCCATTTCTGCTCCTCCCCATTTTGGTGTTGCCATTGCTGATCAATTTCAAGTTGTTGAGGAGTGGGGAATGAAGCTAAGGTTCCCACACGATATAGGTGGATAATGATTCAAGCCATGATGTTGCCAGTAAAAGGTTTGTGAAAGATAATTTGGCCAAGTATGGGAAAGACTTAATATGTGGGGGCGGCAGAGGGTTCATGGTGAGGTGTATGTGCACATATCTTGACACTGGTTGTTCAGATGGGTCTTCATCAGATTAATACAATATTGGGACATCGTTGATACCGTGTGTATATCAATCAGCGGGAGAGTAGACTAAAGGTGTTTTAAGAGATTGTTCAACAACGCGATTGCCATTCGCACGCTTCTGCTTGATGCAAAACGCGATGGAAGTCAAATATGATAGGTTGACAACGGCCAATGCAATCTAGGAGTGTTTTCCCTGTTTGAGGAGAGGGATTTAGTTATCATTATGTCCCATAGGAGGAGGATTGGGACAAAGTTGTGAGAAAATTTGTCTATTTTGAAGGTGTGTAGTGCTGCGCGAATCTGATACTCGGGGAGAGTGATCTATCGACATCAAAATTGTTTCTAAAACAGTATGTACATAAAAATGTATTGTTGTATTTAATAAAGAGTCGGGATGGAGATCAGTTTATACAGACCATGATTTGGAAATGAAAAGAAAAAGTTTGACAAATATTGGATAGAATGTAATCTACTGATGGGTGTGGCTTGCTATTTTGGATCCACCAGATGAAGATGAGGGTAATGGAATGGGCGTTCCCTAAGATTGTATCCTCAGGCTGAATCGCGGGCATATGGTGTTGTGCCGATGCTGGTATGAGGTAGATTAGGGAGTATGTGATTGTCCGTGTTGTTACGTATGCGCTTTGAATAACTATTCAGGGGGTGAAGTTCAGAGGTTGTGAGGGGCAGCGCACGTCGTTAGATAGGGCATAATATTATGTATATTATATATCTGATGGGTTGTAGCCAGTTATGACATACGAAATCAGAGTTAGACTGTTACCTGGGAAGGGATGCCATAAATGTGTTGGGGACGCTACGACATTTGATGCTTTGACCTGGTGGAAGGCTAATTCAACAAAGTTCCCTATTGTGTTACCATGGCTCGTGACATAGTAGCCATTCCTATTACTACGGTTGCTTCTGAGTCTACTAGCGCACAGTAGGGTTATTACACGTACCGATCGTCGTTGGCTCCCAACAGGTGGAGATGTCTTATGGATGTGATTGGAGCAAGACATTGAATGGGGTGAAGAAAGATGTAAAGTGGTTACATACTTAATTGATATTGTTTTATAATTTAGTTTACTTTATATTTATACTAACTAAATCAATTACTCTCCTTTGTCATTTCAGGAAGAGCAACAACCGTTGGAGATCAACCTTCCTATCCTCATAATTCTGGGATTCAGTGCATGGTTTGGCTGTGGTAGGAGGCATGCATAGGTAAAACTTTTATTTTTTTCGCTTTTGTTTCATGATTATACATATTTTTTTCTTGTCATAGTTACCTTAAAAAATACTTATTAAATTGAACATTTTCTAGAGGCAGGGGGAAATTGTGGTTTTCATCGAAGATAGGCCTACTGCAGACTACTGGTGGATAGTGATTTTGATTGGTGGATTGTATATGTACTCCTAAGAATGTTATTTGTATATATTCAGAACTGTTTTTTGATTTTGTAAGGTAATAGACATTTTGTAATGTTTGAAACTGTCATGGTTAATTCAACATTGGATGTAAATATGAAATACAGTACGCAGGTAAATTGCTGTAAAAAAGGGGAACTTGGCTCGATCAAACCTGGATAAATGGTGGTTTGATCGAGCCTTATCGAGCTCGATAAGGCTTGGGAGCTCGCTATCGAGCCGGCTCAGCTCGAGCTCGAGTCTCAATTTTGAGGCTCGTCAGGCTCGAGCTCGATACTGTTGTAAATGAGCTGAGCTCGATAAGCCAAAAGCTCGACTCAGCTCGGCTTGTTTACACCCCTACACATTGACCCATCTCTTTCTAATTTCAACTTTTGGCGTAAAGGGTAACGGCACTGAGCACATTGACCCATCTCTTTAATAAAAGACAAGGATCCCGATTCAACATTATTGATTTGATTTGATTTTGCCATAAAATGCAACAGGCTATCTTTTAATAATTTGATGTAATGGGCCTTATCGCTTGCAATCAACAGTAATTTACGTCTGCAATAATGTTGACAAGACAGAAAGCAAAATTATTGATATAGTAAACAACATATTCCCACTCCAGGTTTGACGAAATATCCTAAGTTCTATTTATTCCAAATTCTTATCCTTAAAAGAATATTGTTAACAATTTTCACAGTAATGGGGATACAATTATCATAATGCTCTTAATCCTAAATTAATAAATTATCTTTTAACCTCTAAATTACTAAAATTATAAAATTAACTATTTTATTTTGAAATTACTTCAATTATATTACCAGTGATTACGCACCATCTCGATTTTCACTAGATCTGGACTGTTTCTGATGACGACGAACCCCCTGGTCACCTCCATCACCTTCCCCATCGTCCGTCATCCAAAACCCCTTTGGTTTCCAACTCATTGGGCCCTCCAATAGCCAGTGCCGTTAGGCTTAGGTTTTCATCGTTCTTCGTTGGATTCCGGTCGATTCCTGCGACGAAAATCCAATTGGACATCACCACTGCAACCAACGTCTCCAAATCTACAAAACCCCTATGTCCCCCAACAACTGTTTAATGGCCAATCACCGGTGGAGACCGACGAAAACCAGTCGCATGTGACAGCTGTCGTGGCTGGCGATCAGTGAGTGATGAGGGGTTGTGAAGGGTAAGGTTTTGTAAAGGGGAGGATAAGGGTTTGAATGGTGATGACAAGGGTGATTTTGGGTGGAAGAATCGTCAGAAAAGGGCGAAAAACATCGACGATGATGTTGGCTAACGTGCGTCAGAGTTTTGTTAAGGGTGGCGATCTGCTAATGTGCGCCTCCTCTGTGAAATGATCAATTTACCCCTGAGCTATTATATCTAACCATTTTCTATTACTTTAAGGGTAAAAATCTGAAATAAATGGAACTTGCAGTACTAACTTAGGATTTCGTCGAACCTTAGGTGGGAATATGTCGTGTACTCTTATTGATATAAAGAAGATTGATTTTATGCAATCAAAAGTGATTTCTGCCTGCAGTAATGTTGATAAGACAGAAAGCAAAATTATTGTTTATTTCTGTTTCGCACATAAATGAGATTACAATATTCTTATACAAATTAAGTCAATTAAAATGATGTAATATGATAATTATATCTAATCCACTGCTAATAATCACAAAACAATTACCTTACCTTTAGGTCTTATATTATATGTGTGTCTCCTGCTTCGATAATGAACTGCTATTTTGAAGAAGAAAGATGGCTGCAGCTGGAATAATCTCCAACTTGATCCTCCTCTTTTATGTTTTTCTCTTGATGGTATAATTAAATCTCATCTCTAAATATTAAATGTACAGAAATACTCATTGTTCATGTTACTTACAGTCAGTAATTTTATCTAATCAGATGTCACTCGATGCTTGTGTAAATGCAGCATGGCATTGGAGCTAGGACGATCAGAACTCAACATCTTGATGATGATGAAGAACACAATATTCTGATGGTGAATGGACGCCAGGACGCCATGCATGGGGATCATCATTCATCATCTCATCATCATATGGCTATAGAATTTGGGTTATTTAGAATGAATGATCTAAGTTTAGGCAAAAAAATGCTTATTGAATTCCCCCCGAAAGTCCTTTCTTCTTCTACTCGGCTCCTCCCCAGAGAAGAGGCTGATCTCATTCCTTTCTCGTTAAACCAACTCCCAAACATTCTCAATATTTTCTCAATCCCCCATGACTCTCCAGAAGCTGAAACCATCGAAAGCACACTAAGAGTTTGTGAGTCGGAGCCCCTCCAAGGAGTTAGCGTTTTCTGTGCTACTTTCTTAGAATCCATGGTTGATTTTGCTGGTAACACATTGGGGACATATCATTTAAGAGCTAAAACCACAACTGCTCTCACAAAATCATTAACCGGCCGTAAGCAAAACTATACAATTTCAGAGGTGCCGAAGGAGGTTCCAGTGCCAATGATGGTAGTATGTCACATGATGTCCTATCCTTACGTAGTTTATTTCTGCCACAACCTGAAAGGTGAGAGTGAAAACAAGTTGTTTAAGGTTCCAATGATGGGTGACAATGGAGATCGAGTGGAAGGTCTTGGTATTTGTCACTTGAAAACATCTAATTTAAATTTGGACCTGAACAACCCAGGACTCCGATTGCTTGATCAGAAACGGGGAGATCACTTTTGCCATTTTCTACCTACAAATCATGTCGTTTGGGTTCCATCATCTTAAATTAATTGCTCCTATTCGATATATCTTGATGTTGTATGAATTAATGTTGTGTAATATGCTTGCGTACGACATGTCGGAGCTTGTGTGCTAAGTAATAAATCAGTGAATAATGGCAAGCACCCATGCATGTGTGTTATTTTTGTTATTAATGTCAAATTACTGCTACCAAATTAATATATATTCAAGAGAAATTCTAAGTAGAAGAGTTTTGACAACAGGATAAGAAAATTATATCATCATCAATATATTTATTCAACAAAATCTTATATCATATAGTATATATTATCCAACAAATTATCCCTAAATATATATGAAGTTCTTTATTAATCAAATAAATATATATGGAATCATTATATCAATAGAGAAGCCACATGATATATATGAGATTTCGGAAGAAAAAAATAATAATATATGTATTATCTTATAAACTAGAAACTGAAAATTAATTAGAAGGTTAAAATCTAACACATCCTCCTTTCATTCTACTTAAAATAATATATGTTTACCTTAAATAATGTTTGATTAAATGGATAATTTCATCGGGAAGCTCGAGCTCAACTCGACTCAACACTTGAGAGGCTTGAGCTCAGGCTCATCTTGACTGTCGAGCCAAGTCCGGCTCGACATGAGCTGAGCCGCGAGCTACTCAAGAGCGGCTTGACTCCTTTACAGCCCTATCAATAACCTTCAGATAATTTTGTATATAATTCAATGACAAAGGTTAACGTTACGATAACTTTGTATATAATTCAATGAAAAAGGTTAACGTTGCTTCACATTGACATTAAATAATAGGGGTTGGACTTTGTGAACACTATGCTTTAACAATAATCCCAATTCAATACAATGGGCCTGATTAGTCCAGCGGAAATAGACAAAGCTATTGCATCCATTGTAAAGATCTTCGAGAGGATTTCGCGAGCTAACTTAGGTTGGGGTTGGTTAGCAAAAGTTGCTGAATTCGAAGGTGAAAGGTGTACATACACTGTCTTAATTTAAAGGTTTTGGGAGTTAACTATGGTATCTACTGAAAATATATACTTATGGATCACGAAAATATATTTCTAAGTGGCTGACAGCAATCAAATATTGCAGTAACTCCCAAAACAAAAAACATTTTCTGATATTTAAGAGATATAAGCCTGAAATTTTACAAGAGCTTCATTCTGATAAAAAAAGAAGGAAAGATGTCTCCTAGAATAATCTCCACCTTGATCCTCCTTTTATGTTTTCCTCTTGATGGTACTCTCATTTGTTAATATTATTTATAGTGTATTATTTAATCATATACTGTTTGAGTGTCTACCGAAGATGTTTATCAGTATATATAAACGATATTGATGCAGCTAAATTAGTATCAGGGCTAGCTGCTGAGGTTTTGGATTATGCTGGGTCCGAATTAATGTATGATGTAGTGGTGAAGAAGGAGAATCATATATAAAGCCACATGTGTTTATTTATTATTATTTTACACGCCTCACAAGAGGAACAACATAGCGGACAAGTACAATACAACATAATAACATATTAGCTAGTTTGCGGTGACCTTCTCGATCGGATTATCCTTAATACCAAACTTATTGGCTTCGGATGGAGATGATTTCTCATCATCACAGTGCCTTGGGCTTGACTCACCATTGCTAAAACCAGGCTTCTCTTCTTTAGCATTAGCCTTCTTTTCTGGCTCTGCATGATCATGAACGAGATCTTGAATAACTTCTGCAGGCATAGGCTGCTCTTTCTTCACCTTCTTCCAATACTCTCCAACCTCTTTTCTCCCTTCTTTACGCTTATATTTACTCCATGCTATAACAGCGTAGGGCTGAGACAGTTCATCAACAAAAAAGTTTTTAGCGTTAGGATTGCTGTCCTCCTGATGATTATTATTAGGAAGAAGCTCTTGAAAAATTTCAGGCATAGGCTCCTCTTTCATCATCTTCTTCCAATACTCTCCAACCTCTTTTCTCCCTTCTTTACGCTTATTTTTAATCCATGCATCTACAGTAAAGAGCTGAGACAAATCATCAATAAAAAAGTTTTCAGCATTAGGATTGGTGTCCTCCTGATGATTTGCAGAAACAAGGTCCTGAATAACTTCTGGCATAGGCTGCTCTTTCATTACATTCTTCCAATACTCTCCAAGCTCTTTTCTCCCATCAATGCTTCCTGCAAACTGCACAAAAATGCCAATTAATTAGGGTTTAATAAATATCATTTCATACTTGTTTATAACAATAAGAGAAAGAGAAAGTTAATTAGTTTTGCTAATTACCAAAAGCAATATTAGTAGTGAGAGTTTAAAGAAAGCAAATAACAGCTTCATAATCAGATAATCTTGAATGATTGAGTATGGAGTTTTTGATGATCTGGAACCTATTTTTCTCTACCATATTTATACACAACATTTGGAGGATAAAGCCAAAAGCAATGTTTTAAAACCCAACCCGGGGTGAAACCCGGCAAAGTTGCCAGGTCTTAGGTTGATGGTCAAACCGGTTGACAAAAACTTCTAAAATTTAGCAAATACACCCCTAAAAATTTTGTTAAGTCCTTATAAGTTTGAAATTTAACAAATACACCCCAAATACAAATCAGCTGGCGACTGAATGGCGGTGACGACACCCCAGATGCAACCCCAATCGTCCCTTGGGCCTATTCCCCTTAAAATTTACCCAAGATCTGGCTAAAATAGGCTTGATTTCGACTAGATCTCATCGACGTCGGCATCGGCATTCCAGGCCAGATCTCATTGATGTTGATGTCAACAACCCTCCCCATCACCCAGAAATTACTCATCTCTTCCTCCTAACCAAAACCCACCTCACCCCACCCCCGTTAGCCTCGCCAATCGTTGGCAAAATTCAATTGTTGTCGCTACCAATTTTGTTCGATTTCCGGTCGATTTACTCACCGAAAATGGACTCCGTCACCACCATTGCATTCACCAACACTTTCTCTTCAAATGCCCCAGCATTCTGACTGTTAATTGTTCGTTGATCATCCTCCCAAATCCTAGGGTTTTTTGTGAATAAGAAAAATATAAACCCGGTCCATTGAAGCTTTCAGGTCCCGGTTGAACCGGCTAGGCTAGGCCGAGTTTTAAAACATCGGCCAAAAGGATATCATATTACTCCTTCATAGAATTTGAGGTAGGCTTGACTCCTCACCCAATAAGGTCTTGCTGAATGAGAGGATTACCCTCTCTTATAAACAAATAGACGTGCCTAGTCGGTGTAGAACTCCAACATTCCCCCTTACGGTCAAACTCATATGTTAGGTCATGCCTGTTGACAGAGGTAGTTGTTAGCTCTAACTCCCCACACACTGGTCAAACACTCAGCTCAACTGAACATGGGCTTTGATATCATGATATAATTTGAGGTAGACCTAACTCTTCACCAAATAAGGTCTTGTTGAATGGAGGATTACCCCCTCTTATAACCCAATAGGCTTAAGCGTGTCTAGTCGATGTGGCACTCCAACACTCTCCCTCACGGTCAAGCTCATATGTTGGGTCATACCTATTAATGAAGGTAGTTGTTGACTCAAACTCCTCACCCGCTGGTCAAGCACTCAACTCAACTGAACCTAGGCTCTGATACCATGATAGAATTTGAGGTGGGCTTGACTTCTCATCCAATAAGACCTTGTTGAATAGGAGGATTGCCCTCTCTTATAAACCAGTAGGCTTGAGCGTGCTTAGTCGGTGTGAGATTCCAACACTCCACCACAAAACTTTAATTTAATTTAATTTATCAAAGAACATGTGAAAAATGACATGAGTTTTATTTTATGAGAAAAAATCCAAGTACGTACACAAGTTTATGAAAAGACAAAAATAGAATATTTAATTATATAAGGCCGTTTAATTTAACCAAAAAAAAATGAATTATAATATGTAGAAGGTTATTATACTCTCATTAATTAGCTTTTACGATGTTGATTATTATGATATGGTTTTGAAATATACAAAATGATTATTCAACCCTTATTAAACGATAAAATTCCAAAAATTAAAATTAAAAACTATTTTATTTAGTTTTTATTCTAGCGTGTGGGTGTCCCATGGCTCTCCTTATTTATTTGTAAAAAAAAATTATATATTAAATATAATCTCTTCTATATAGATTTTGAGATTTTATATTTAATTATTCCATTGATTACACAATGTAATACACAAATCAAGCATTAATTTTTTGGTGAAAATTACTAAAATTTTCTGAACATGGAATTTGGCATTTTAACCAAAGAACATAGAAAATGTAGGCAAATATAAAACTGTTAGACATAGATTTTTATATTTTTTATCTCTTGATTTTTTTATTATTATCATTATTATTATTATTATTATTATTTTTTTGTGTGTGTTTTTTGTTTTTGTTTTTCTTTCCTTATGTATTAGACATTTAAAATAACGTATTGTATAAAGAAATGAAAATAGTTGGTTTATTTTAATTGAGACAATGACATTTTCCACGAGATTACTTTTAGTTGTTTTAATATATCATTTTCATACTTTTTCATTCAAAGTTATCAATATCATTTCACGCTAAAGAGACAAAAAAATATGATTTTAATTCTAAATTTGTCAAAATCATTCTGATAAATTATTCATAGATATAATAAAACATATTTTTTAATGGTAAACAATTAAATATATTTAAACAATTTTAACGAATTTTTTTGTCATAATTCATGAAATAATAGCATAATGGTTCATCTCATGATGCTAATGGGCCTCCAACTTAAGCATGTATCAATACATAAATCTTCATATATCGTAATTGAAACAATGATATTTTCCACAACATTACTTCTAATTGTTTTAATACATCATTTTTATATTTTTTATTGAAAGAAATCAAATATCATCAAGGCTAAAGAAACAAAAAATTATGATTTTAAATTTTTAATTGTAAATTTGTCAAAATCATACCAATAAATTATGGATAAATATAATAAAACATATGTTTTTTAATGGTAAACGATTAAACATATTT